TATTTACTCCTTTCTTTAGCAAACGACAGTTTCCTTACAATTTATTGTCCCTCATTATAAAGTGAAACCCCATGGTTTCTTTTTGTCAAGTTAACACAATAAAAAATCTCAAAGTCGTTTGTGCCCTGTCTCCTTCAATCTATTTAAGATATCGTGAATGGCGTTAGTTCAGCGTCTAGAATTTTCCAAGTGACATATCTTTTTATCAATCGCTAAGAAATCGTATTTTGATTTTCTGGATTTTGTCCTTTGATATGGCTGATAGCTGCGTGCATGTCCTGAAGGTGTAAAAACACTGATTAATTTAGATCCGTTTTCAACTGACTATTAGCAATAGATCAACCAGTGCTGTGACACGCAAGGCTCTCTAGGCTGCTAAAACATGAACGAGGTTCGATTTTTCTTGATTACAAACAGACAACATCAGAATTTATTCTACTGTCTAACAACACGACCACGCAAACAGTTATATGTTTCCATATCTTGCGTCAGGTAATGTGATACATAGAATTGAAATGTGTTAGGGTTGCTGGGTAGCTTTGTCAAACCGTATTCACTCTGCTTGATTCTCGTCGGTCTTTGTGCACTCCCAATAAAACAGGCACGTGTCGTCTTTCTCCTGACGCAGGCACATCCACCCACAGACGGAATAAAAAGCGTTCATTTACGTGCATGAATCATAAGCTAGCAAAATATCCAACATGGCACCTGTTCAATACTCTCGGAGCTAACACCTGTTGCTGTAAGCGCAACGTGGGATGTTCACACATCAACGGTCACACTATATACCATCCCTAATCATTTAACGGTGAGTGATAATGGGAGCCTTTTATTACATGTGTCATACCGTGGTTCTTTTCAACACATTTTAACCATCTGAAGAATGTAATTTTGGACTATGTCGTGATGGTTAATTGCATATTTTCCAAATTTAGCCTGGGATAGGGTCATAATTTTTCATTGACTTTACCGATAGTTTCAGTTAATTAAACGACCAAATTAGCTTTCTTGTAAAAAACAATTCAAAAGGATTCAGCAATCTAGCTTTAACCTGTCGAAATTCCGAAAATTAAAGCAATCCAATTAAGCATCAATATTTATTTTGAAAATAATCGCATTCTGGTTCTATATATGAAGTTATATACAAAGAATAGTGCTTAATACAGATATTCTACCAAAGTGCATTTGAAATATATACGGAATTTGAGCGTCAAATCTAATTTTCCTCAAACAAAGTAATTTCCTCTTATTCATGAGTCATTGCACATCCCGTCCCTGCTACTGGGTGTTTTGTACCGTTTGTAATAAAATACCTTACATCTACACGAACCACAAATAATTTAGGCCGCATTCACAACCAAAGTTGATCCGGAGACTAACAGATCCTCGGATCAAATTTTGACGACCCACTTGAAAGCTTACCGCGTTATCCCCGTTTTCCGTTATCCCTGTTAGTCCGCTGATCAAGTAGTTCTGAGTGCGCCCCTAGACTGCAATTATATTTCCCATATAAGGATATATCTACAACAGGTCCTTTTATTTGCAGAATTTTATTGTTTATGAATTTTCTGAATTGGGAAGAAGAAGTTTGGCAAGATGTCTGGACAAAAATATGTCTTAGGGCCTTTTTTTTTTGGGGGGGGGGGCATTTTCGATCGCATACACAGTAGTTTACTTTCAAGACCCGCTTTTAATTAAAACATAAAGGAATACTTTAATATTTATATCATTCCGTTTTAATTTTTGGAATAAAATACGCTTTTGTACTATTTATTTTTAGCTAAATTATAATTCTATCATGTAGCTCCAACGGCTCAGTTGGCATTTAAAGAGATAGAAAGAAATACACACACCATTTCTGTGCACTGTATTACTGAATCTGCATATTTGGCAAGACTTCCCAAAGTATTTTTACATTCCTCATTGGCCTTTTCTCCCGAATTATCCATTTTTTAAACAGTGGCAAGTCAGATAAAACCTATCCAAAATCTTTCAAATGTGAACAAAATGAGGACGCCATGAGAGTACATGTGCACTGTAGATAATGCTGTCTGTCTGACAAGACCAAATTACCAGATCGATATGTAATACCTTGATGATGCCATTCTTAATAACCTGTAATTTAGTCACAAACCCCAAATCATTCTCACATATTTATACCCTGAAATTATCTGAGAGTGATAATGGCGAGACTTAAGTTATTAGTATTGACTGCCTGCCGTGCAATGAGAAGGATGTAACTTACGGCTGCATTGGTCGTGGTTGATCTTGGATGTATGTATATATATATTCTAGTGGGAGAGATACATGTTGTATTAGCTTGCGGAATGTTTTGTTGAAGGTTCGATCCCCGGCCAGGTCACAGAATAAACCAAAACTACCCCCCCCCCCCCACTCCACACACACACATGCCCATGTACACGCGCGCACGCGCGCGCGAACATACATATGACGACTCATCGTTCTGACGCTGTACTGCAACATGGAGGCTGACTTGCTTTCTCTGTTTATTGGCTCAAGCTATTACATGTATGATTGATTAAGACCAAACTTACATAAGGCATAGAGAATGAACATATATGTAGAACAAACACATAACACATCTTATAAGAGATACACTTATGTAGAACGAACATGTAAGAAGATTAGATGCACGTGGTGTTTAAGAAACGCCACGTCGATTGTTATTTAATTTTCATACAAGAAACACTAATACTCGGGATGACATGGGCGCATACAGGCTGCACCGCACTGCGATTTCTTAGGAAAAAGGACTCACGTTGAACTATATCTATCCAACAAAATGTTGAATGCTAATGCAAATCAAAAGAAATGAATGCATATTATTAAAAAAATTTACAATATTGGGAATAAGCCACGCTGTAGTAAAAATGTAAGAATTAAAGAAGTTTGAGACCGTATTAAAAAGGAATACAGCTGAAGGATAAAACGACCCTACACTATGCGAAGTTTATAGACAGTAACAGTTGGCATGTTTCCATCAACAAGATTTGCCATCCATTCAAAGTAAAGCAGAAAAAGACGAGTAATGAAATGCAAGTTATTGCAGAAATTGTTTCATGTCCTCAAGAGAACACTTTCACGTTATATTACCTTTTTCATCACTTTTCCTTCATAATATCTACTTTCCTCCCAGATTTATAATGAACGCAATGATCAATGAGAAATGTGTCTGTGTGGGTCTCAACCAAATAAGCCACTGCGGTAGTTGAGATTTAAAAAATTAATCGGGAGGAATTCGAAATGTGTGTATTTTTAAACTCAATTACAGCAATGGTTCATTTCATCGCACTCACTCTGGTCAATACATTGTATTTTTTAGCACGTGCGAGTATTGACTTTACTGTCTTATATGTCTAGTTTCAAAGCGAATGATTATGTGCCGTGAATAAAGTTTCATAGCTGTTAATACGAACACTAATTCGAAAAATTTACTCTTACTTGTGTACTGATGCTGATTATGAAAATGAAAATAGATATCAACAGTTGGCAGTTGGCATGTTTACATCAGCAATTTTTTGTCATCCATTCAATCGCCATTCAACATGCAAGAAAAATGTTTCAAAGACAAGATGTCTGGGGCAAAATAGAACAGTTACTTGCGGCTCTTTTTCGTAGAGTTACCAAGATAGGTCTAGTAGACAATCAGGAAGTGCACTCGCGAGAGAGAGAGAGAGAGAGAGAGAGAGAGAGAGAGAGAGAGAGAGAGAGAGAAATCTACCTGAATTTAAACTATAAACAAATCTGGTGAGATTTTAATCTTTTGTTTTACAATTTTAGGTTGCAGCATGCATTTCAACCATTATAACTTTATTTCTGTAGATCTATTTACCTTCTCCCTTCAAAATTGTGTCAGGAGGCAAATGTTGATACATCTAATAGTAAGATAATGATTTTCCAGCTTTATAAAGTTCTTAATAATGACTTTTCTCCTTTTTAAAGACAGATCCCCATTTGCCAGCGAACGTACCAAAGCCTCTCTGATCCCGATGGGAGCAAGTCAAGGCTGGGACACACAGCGGCGCAGAGCAGGAAGACCCAAAATATCGAGTTTGAAAACCCGCTGTACACAATTGACACTAGACAACTACATATTTGAACTATTTCCTTTGTTTGTATTGGGAATGCTGTTTTGTTGCCAGAAAAGAGATTCCGGATTGTACAGTACAATATGTGGTACATGTGACCATAATCATTGTCGTTCTGAGAAACTGTACGTGTAGGCTGATAAAGACGATGATGCATTGGTAGTGAAAGGAATCATTACAAACTCAGTGAAAACACGTGTGCGGCTTTAACTCCTTTGACTTGATGTAGCTATCAAAACAGAAAAGGGTATGAAAGAAAGACGTCAAAAGAAGCAAAGGATATATTGCATTTGAAGGGAAGCATAAGTCAGCGCTTTCAAATTCAGTTTAAATGGCAACGACATCCATAAAATGCATCCACAAATTGATTTTTTAAAAACTTTAAGTGGCTCTTTTTCAATTGTCAACCAAACAAATATATATCTATTAGCTCAGATAATATCTAAGGGATTCAACGTATTATTTTTTTTTATTCAATTTTATTTTACACAATATTTCTTCTGAACATATTTTCTACTTATATTGATTTCATTTCTATTTCAATAATAAAAGATAATCATGAAAATACTTGAAAATACTTGATTTTTAACTGATACGCCATACACACCAAGAAAATGAGGAGCTCTTCCTCTAAAATGTGGAAAAGGCCGGATTCTTACATATAAAAATAGATGTGTGTTAAATATTGTACTTGTTAGTGCGTCAATTACTTGTCAGCTGTCTTTTACATTCATCAATTCATTCTGGGCAATGCGTCATCATTCAGGTTAGTGATCTGTCTTCCCCCTTAAAACCAACCCCGATGGCAAATCAATAAATGAAGAATCTATAAACTTTGTTATTCGCTTTATTTCGTTGTTCGATCAGTTTTACAAATCCGACCACTTTCATTTTCGAAATGATGCTATAACTGCACGAATATTCAATCTGTCTTCAACTGAGCTCTTCATTCAATTTAAATCAGTTGGCATTAACAGTTCACGCAATGGCTACACGGAAGCCATTCGCCTTTGGTATTTCTATAGCTATCATGCGTTGGAACAAAATTTGCGAACTGAATCAAATATAACAAAAAGGGTTGGTGCACTATTCAAAGCATATATCAATACATATATGGTGATGGCAAATATTTAACACTGACCAATAGAACAAGTTTCGTTTTTAAATGTCCTGCATGTGATCATTTCAAATACAAGGAGACCTGATATTCGTATACGTTAAAAACTCTTTGAAAGTTCATATTCACAGTATTTTAGGAAGAAATATCCCAGGCGTGAACCTAATTGAAGAAATGTTTATCAAAATCTGCAAAGCAATTCTTTTGGATGTGTAGCGTCTATAGGACTAGCCACCGTTACAATGCCTCGTTTACATCATCGATTCCGGTCTGCTCTGAACGCTATGGATGTCCCACGCATGCGCACGTCGCTCAACGTCCTTATCGACTTTCTTTAAATACTTCAGAGTTTTCTTGTTTCTGCGAATAAGCATACCTATCACGACGACGAATATTAAAATCATTGGTATCACACTAATGGTGATGGCCGTTTCCCCGCCAACAAGTCCTGGTAATGATTTTTCTACTAGCATATTTCGTGGTTTGGAAGTATCTGAAATTGAATCAAAAGTAACTACGGGTAAAATCAGTTTTCACCTTTGGAAAAAATTAGCCTTTTCGGCTCCAGAAAAACGCAAAAGAATTTTATTAACATGCTATACATACTAATATGATGCGAATAGCCTAATATTTACTCAGGTGAATATATGTAGGCAATTTTCTAAAAATTTAAATGTAAAATACTGTATCTACACTGGTAGACCATACTTAAACAAAGGTGCAGAGGCATTAATTGAAAGAGATATTACTTTGCCTCTGCGATATATGAATGACAAAACATCTATACCATCACCACCAACAACAACTAAAATAATAATAATAATAATAGTAATAATAATAATTTGATAATGCGTTATTGCAACTTTTAAGTTTAAAAATCACATAAAAGCGAAACTCTTGTTTTACCAGGTGTTCCTGTAGCTACAATCCGATTGGTCACTCCTCCTGTGACCGCCGGACTATTGGTATTGCTATTGGTAACCCCCGCCGCCGTGGTCATCATCGTTGTGCCGTCCTGTCCTTTTTCTCCCTTTACTCCCTTCATGGCCATGCCTGGCATCCCCATCTCCCCTTTCATGCCTTTGATACCTGGGGCACCCGGCAGACCCTTCTGTCCCATGATACCGGACATCCCCATGTCTCCCTTGTCCCCGGGGGTGCCAGGAGGCATGACCCCTTTGGGCCCTGGAGTCAAAAGACGAAGTGTAGGTAATGTAAATGCACGTAAATGGTTAGAATAAAGGCATTACACAGGATGAGGCATGACCTTTTTGGGCCCTGGAGTGAAAAGACGAAGTGTAGGTAATGTAAAAGCGGGTAATTGGCATAACGCAGGGTCCAGGTTGGGCCTTTCTATAATTTTTACATTCACTTTTCAGATATTAATTGCCTCATAAAGGTTATGTGGATGGCCTACGTTTTTCTGATATGCAACCATTGTTTAAATTGTCAGTAAGGTAGTTATTAATTTTTGTATGTAATGAATTTGAACTGTCTGACTAGAATTTTTAGCTATTTTAAATCTTGTTTTATTCAATCAACACCACTACCTCTATCCATTTTAAAAGGGATGGCATAACTGGTGTATTCGAAAATAATATGCATTTTGAAAGAGCTGCATACCACAAGTGGGCAGCACGTACCTTTTGCCCCCTTTATGCCTTTTGGACCAGCGGTACCCGGTGGTCCTCCTGTCCCTGGCAGCCCTGGTGGCCCCCCTGTTCCTGGTGGTCCTCCTGTTCCTGGTGGACCCCCTGTTCCTGGCGGACCTCCTGTACCTGGTGGACCACCTGTACCTGGGGGCCCTCCTGTGCCTGGTGGCCCTCCTGTGCCTGGTGGCCCACCTGTTCCTGGTGGTCCTCCTGTACCCGGTGGAGCTCCTGTTCCTGGCGGCCCTCCTGTTCCCGGCGGACCTCCAGTGCCTGGTGGTCCTCCCGTGCCTGGTGGACCTCCCGTGCCTGGCGGACCTCCCGTGCCAGGCGGACCTCCTGTTCCTGGCGGACCGCCTGTGCCAGGTGGCCCGCCTGTGCCAGGCGGACCACCTGTTCCTGGTGGTCCACCAGTACCTGGTGGGCCACCTGTGCCTGGCGGACCTCCTGTACCTGGTGGTCCTCCTGTGCCTGGCGGACCTCCTGTACCTGGTGGTCCTCCTGTGCCTGGCGGACCTCCTGTACCTGGTGGTCCACCTGTGCCTGGTGGTCCTCCTGTGCCTGGTGGTCCTCCTGTCCCTGGTGGCCCCCCTGTGCCTGGTGGACCACCTGTGCCTGGCGGACCACCTGTGCCTGGTGGTCCACCTGTGCCTGGCGGACCTCCTGTCCCTGGTGGTCCACCTGTGCCTGGCGGACCTCCTGTGCCTGGCGGACCTCCTGTACCGGGTGGTCCACCTGTGCCCGGAGGACCTCCTGTCCCTGGTGGTCCTCCTGTCCCTGGAGGCCCCCCTGTCCCTGGAGGACCTCCTGTACCTGGTGGTCCGCCTGTGCCCGGTGGCCCTCCTGTGCCTGGTGGCCCCCCTGTGCCTGGAGGCCCCCCTGTCCCTGGCGGCCCACCTGTACCTGGTGGACCCCCTGTTGGCGCTGGTCCCCCTAAGTCTATAATGAAGACACGTTGATACAGCTTGTTTTGGATTTATATTATTGACAGTCATTGTACCTTTATTATCAACAACTCACACAGACCCAAATAACACTCTCATGCTCGTCATTTCATAGTAAATTTAAATCAGAAAAAATGTTGACCTACATTTAGAATATATACGCAAATGTACCAGTGTATTCATAATTTATCATGTATAAAATCATAATGACTTTAAAATGTAACCCAAAAAGGTTTCGTGTAGGGTTATGGTGCATTGTATTCTGGTAAGCATGCACACAGGCATAAATTAATATCATGAATTAGCAATATTTGTATACTTACCCACATCCCGCGGTAACAGAAGTCCTAAAACAGGAAAAAGGTACAATTATAAAGCAACGATTAGTGTTTAGCCGATTGACTACATTCACGCCACTGCATTTTTCTTGAAAAACATGTCGAATATTGGACTTCTGTATCTACACTGGCGGTCGACAAAAAAACGCCGGAAACATTTGAGAAGATCTTCAGTGTATATAAAAGAGTACCGAATGGCGGGTGCATTATCCATTATACAAGCCAATATTACGATTCGATACACTACACGTCAATACACTACACTACATAAGAATAGATTACTAAGCTTAAAGGAATAATAACTATTCGTTTTGGCAAAAAAAAAAAAAATGAATTTTCCCGGAGTAAACAACAATTTTCCCATATTTACCAATGGTTAACGAATCCGTTTCTACATTCATATTTAGTCCCTGTTTTTTTTTTAAGTTTGGTTTTATGTTATAATCTCTTAGATTACTACAGAATATAGCCATCTGTGGAGGTAACGTGGCCTGATGATAAGCCCAGATATCAGAATAATAGCCGTTTTTGTGGTAAAACAGAATATATTATACTTCTATGAGTTGTTTAAATGTTTTTATTGTGAAATATAGATCTCATACGAAGAGTTATTATCCTTACAAGTTCCAAAAACTTTACAGAAAAACTGCGATTTTACAATATAATATCATGAACACAGGCAATACTATGCCAACATAATGCTGTTAAGTTCTATTTGAAGCGGGGGAGGGGGGGGAGCATAGAACAAAAAAGAAAACAATAAAACACCTTTATCAAAACATTCTTACCTAGCGTCACACAAAATAGCAAGTGGGAACCATGCTGTTTCTTGTGCACCCAAACGGATTTCATCTAGGATAAAAAATTCATTAGTTATCAAATCAAAATCCATATCGTCAAATTTAAACTCTCGTTGTATTAAAATTACTCATCCTCATTAGTCTAGCGCTCAAGCTTTTTCATACAATTTATGGCATTCTATATGCAACTGAAAGATGTACAGAAGAGAATTGACTAAGCCGATTACTAAATAATTTTATCAGGGCAAAATGTGTGCTGTATGTATTCATAACAGTTTGTTTTAGCCGAAAAATGCAAACTAAACATAACTAAAACAGACAAGATAGGCACATTTTCTAACCTGACAAGGATTTCAAGTATTTGAGCAGCACAGACCACAAAACTTTATTAGTGTGTGTGTGTGCGTGTCTCTCTCTCTCTCTCTCTCTCTCTCTCTATATATATATATATATATATACATATATACAGCATTGGTCAAAAAGGTTGTCCCACCTTCAGTATCATGTGCTTTTATTTATAAATGATCACATCACAGGAGAAGATTGTTTTAAATATTGATTTTCATTCCAGACACCATAAATAACATGATAAGTGATACAGAAAACACAAACTAGCGTTGAAGATATCAAAATTTAATACCATTTATTTACATTTATTACATGTACCCCCTCAAATCCGCCGTTTCACTGTGATTTTCACAGAGGTAAAGAAATGTTCATAAAATTGAAATGACACCACCAAATGTCACCAAATTTTCACATATTTAGCATTAGGGTGTGCTCGTTAAAGTTACTTGTCTAATAGCGTTTGTGTTTACCGCGTACTGTAATTATCTCCTGTAGGTGGCGCGGCCTGCCTTCAACAAGGGTAACAATTCTGTTTTATGGGATATTGTCTCATTCTTCCAAAAGAGCTCGAGGGAGTTTGTCCAGATTATCAGGAGTTACGTTTCCTTCACATTGCACACTTCAATTCATGACACAGATGTTTAGTAAGGTTAATAATAGGGGTCAAAGATGGTTGCTCCATCCTCTGAACATTGGGTTTCTGCAACAAATCACTCAGCAGACGAGAGTTGTGTGCAAGTGCATTTCCACGATGACGCCTGCAGTATCCCTGAAGTCACCTCTTGCAAATGGAATGAGATATTTGTTGAGAATGTTTCAGTGAATTGTCCCAGTATCGTTTTTTTTTTCGGAAAGAACAATGCACTAAAACCATGGGCTTGGAATTCTCTCCAAACGTGGACTGACCTGACACCTCAGGCGATATTATCCTGCACAAACCTACCAAAAGGCAGTCTGCAACATGTCTACGGGCCCTAATTTGACCATCGAAGGCATACAAGAAATACCTTGATTCTTCAGCAAAACCAACTTGTTTTTAGTGATGGTTGACCAAGTTCTGGTAGTTCTGGGGTCACCGAGCCTAGCATTCTCAACTGATACCTCATTCCATAGGCAAGAGGGGACTTCGGGGGTGATCCAGGCTTCATCATGACAGCACACTTGCACACAGTTCTCATGTGGTGAGTGATTTGTTGCAGAAACCCAATGTTCTGAGGCTGGAGAAACCATCTTTGAATCCAGATAATAACCCTACTGAGCACTCGTGTCATGAATTGAAGTGTGCAATCCAGAGGAGATCCAAACTCCAAATAGTCCGGACCAATTGCGCCAAGCTTTTTAGGAAACATGGGGCAATATCCCACAAAACAGAATTGTTACCCTTGTTGAAGGCAATGGCGCCGTCTACAGGAGATAATTACAGTACGCGGTAAACACAGACGCTAGTAGACACTGATTTTTATCGAGCACACCCTAATGCTAAATGTGTGTAAATTTGGTGTCATTTGGTGGTGTCAATTCAATTTTATGGGCATTTCTTTACCTCCGTGGAAATGGCAGTGGAACACCGGATTTGAGGGGGTACATGTAATAAATGTGAATAAATGGTATTAAATATGGATGTCTTAACCGCTAGTTTGTATTTTCTGTACCACTAATCATGTTAGTTATGGTATATGGAATGAAAATCATCATTCATAGTAATTAATTCCTGTGATGTGATGATTTATAAATAAAAGCACATGAAACCGGGGGTGGGACAACCTTTTTGACCAATGTTGTATATATATATATATAGAGAGAGAGAGAGAGAGAATTAAATGAAAAGAGCAATACCAGTTTGTCTGAGTCACTAAGGTAAAACATGCCGTCATGGCAGTTATGATTCTTTGGCAGTCATGTGATTAGCAGATGTGTAGCATGCTGCAGCGGAATATTTTGTTGAAGTAAAGATATCTATTCTATTCTATTCTGTTCGAAGGGCAAAGACGACATGTGAAGGCACCACCTATCTGACATGAAAACATGTAGAGGAAGATGAATTTTGGTCCCTGTCGAGACTTGAAAGGACGTTTTAAAAGGATATGATTTACTTCAGCTCTATTTTACAAAGAATGTTAGGTCAAATTTTTGACTAAGCATAGACTACCAAATAACTTGACTGATTAATTTGCGTTACTCAGAGAATCTGTAATAACGATGACCTTGTTATTTTGATCTGAAAATCAAGTCTCCATACATTATTAATCAAAGTGTTGACACTAGACCGTTATTTTAGAATACCTGTACTGATTTCCCTGTAAAATGCTCTCAGACAAATATTGGAAAACCGAATTTTTATTAAGCAGACTAAGCCCAAAGTTTTCCGTGAAGCAGCCCCCCGCTCACTGACGACATATGGCCTGCTATCGGAGCCAACTGACTTGTAGCAGACATTGAGGTTTTGAAAAACTCCAAGACCAAATTTGCCAACTCAACTTTACGTGGTCTTTTATCTTCGAGTTCCAGTCTAAGCAAAACTGAACAACTGCAGGCATGTTGCGAAATGTGCCTTGGCCTAGCTGAACTTGTCTTTATGTAGGTTTTTAGTGAAACCTAACCCTCCTAGCAAATCCCACGTATCTTGAAAATTTATACACATCTGTACTTTGAAAAGAGAGAGATACTTACCGCTTTGTGAATGCAAAGTGCTTGTGTCAAAATATTGTCTTTCTCCAAAAGCTATGGAACAGTCGCGAGACACCGATTCTCGCTTAGTTTTGCAACGGCCAGATACTCATGCGGTGCATCTTTCTGATGAAGCCGTCAGATGCTACGTGCCACATACCACTGGGCTCTTCTGTTCCATGTTGCCTCCAGGGCGACTGCCTTAGAGCGCATCAGATTGTTATATTGTTTTATACTTTATAGATCCGTTCTATGCAGTTCCATTGCCGGAAACAGCCGCCGGCCATGCCCCAGAGGGACCATTAAACCACTGTATCCTGTTGGGATATGCTGATGCGAGGTTTGATTTTGTATTGGAGGCTTTCACAATTAAGCTGGTTACACCTGAACAAGAATCATCTGATAAAGGTATCTTGCAACTGAACTGCACCCAGCCATTTTGTAAGGGAAAAGTTACTCATTTGTCTTGTCTGGTTGGTCACATGTGGTCTATGTACATGTACATGTGATTATCTAACTATTGTTATTTCTCTGGTCCAAAAGTAACAATAAATATCAACTTATTATGCACCGGACGAGATTTCCAACACGTCTGCCTACTGCACTGGCGAGGGCCATTAGCCCGTGCGTCTTCATTTTTTTCCCTTTTAATCCAAACCATACTACCCTGCTTGCATTATACCACCGTGCGTTAAGACGAATGTACCTGCGTTGCGGAAAGCACCCAAATTTCCATGGACTTCATGTTCTAGACGGTTATCATGTAATTGTGTCAATGCAATATGTTAGCTGTATGCATTCATAACAGTTTGTTAATGCAATGAATGCAAACTTAATATGACACAAAAGAAAGGGAAAAAACATTCAAGGATTTAAAGAAAGGAAAACGCCGTAAAATACTACTAATACTACTAATAATAAATAATATATCCGATCATTTTTAACTTGGTAAGTATTTCAACGATAAGGATGACCAGTACAATAAAACGAAACTTTGTCACATAAAAAGTAACAGAAAAAGAATTCATGCTAAAGACAGCCCGACCGATATAAATCGTTGAATTAACTCAACATGTAAAAAGATAAATAGCTAAATGAATGGATGAATCAACCAACATTGTAATTAAGTTGTGAATCAGGGCAAGTTCAGTTCGACTGTTGTTAAAACTTCACTTTTTAGCAGGGGGCCGGGTCGCAGTAACTAGGTTTAAAAACAAAGAAAAACTATGCCATTTAATAATCTGTTTAGACAACAGGATTATTTTAATTGAATCAAATGTTAGGTCATACATTTATCCTTTGGATGTCTTTGAATGTTTTATCGTGATTTTGAGATTTCGGGCTTTACAGTAAGGCGCAAACAACGTCTTTTCTGTAATATTTATACCTCATTCCAGTGACGGCCATTTTTCCAGATAAGAAGCAAATTGGGTCACGATTCGAATAATTGCGGTAGTGTAAATGCATGAGGATTTCTGTTTACCGGTTTCTCAAAACCCTGCCATCCGCAAAACTTTTAAGTTTTAAATTTTTAAAAAATCTCGAAGGAAAGAAAGTTGATCTTTACATAACTGCTCACGTTTAGCTATTTTCAAATTAATTTTTATAATATTTTTGAAGAAGTAAATTGAATTTATATTGAGAGAGAGAGAGAGAGAGAGCGAGATCCTGACATGCTAAATAACGCATTTTTATGATTAAAAGCATAGTGAAGAAAATTCAGCATAGCAACATTGTTCTGCTCATTTGGGTTTAAATATTTCGAAATTGCTCATTTTTGATTACTTAACTGCTATAAACGATTTTCAACTTTAAATAAGATGGTGCCACATTTGTAAAATATATTAGAAAATCAGTATAATTGCTGAGGACCCAATTTGCTCATTATTTAGTGTTAAAAGGTTTAAAGTCATCGCGAAAATAATAAAACTGAAGTTGTTTTTAAAAACTTTTAATTAGAATGAATAATTTCTGTTTATTTATGTTAATAAGGGATATTTCCGCCTGGGTTTCTCTACTTCTATGATTTTTACGTAAGTCGACAGAACTATTAAACCAATGTTAATCCGTGATTTACACTGTACCTGTATATGTATGACTGTACATGTAGTATTGTCAGTTTAGCATTCATGTACCAAATATTGAAACTCAGGTTGTTCCTTTTTTCATAATGCAAATATATTCAAATTTAATTAAAAATATCAAAATATGTTCAAACTTATGCTGAACTTTCGTCTTTATGTTTAGGTCTAAGTTTTGTATTTCTGATACAAAAACTTTGTATGCAATTCGATTGTCAAAAAGTGATGAAAGGCTTTTCAATTGTTTTTTTTTTTTTTTTTTTTTTTTTTTTTTTTTTTTTTTTTTTTTATGAAATGGTCTGCAATTTTACTCTCTCTCTCTCTCTCTCTTTTAAAACGAACATATATTTTGTCAGGCATAATCCAAGGTGGATTTCTCGTTTCTGGAAATGGGTCAGAATTTTTCAAGAATATCTAAACGCCCACTCAATATTACGAGTCTACTGTATCAAATGGAGTTTTAAAATGTTAAATAATTTTTTTGGTAAAAATAATGCCAAATGACAAAATGCATGTTTCTGATCAATGTCCCAACAGCAAAGATGGAAATGACTTAGAAATCATTTTTATTGCTACAAGCTGCACCACAGTTGGACCACAAATGCACAAAAGAAAGATTGTAGTTCGTACTTTTGAGATTGCCACTTGACACTTCTGATTCAGGTTTTCAAGCAGAAATCAGGATTGAAATTACACACGGGGCAAAGAAGACTGGGATGTGTTCGGTTTGTGGACTTGATATACGAATAACTTCTATAATGGCCCACGCCGAGCTGTTTTTCAAAACCATTTGAGACCATTTAGAAACCTGTCAGAATAAAGCACTGGATCTGCCCTCGTTTTGTGTTGAATTTGATGCTTCCATAATAAAGGAAAATAAATTCTATCACGGAAAATAAATTCATAAAAGCAACTCCAAGTGAAACTTCACCTTACATTTATTGACATATTTCCCATGTTCTGTCATCATGACAAAATAGCACTTTTCTCGTATATGTAAGAATTGTACAGTTAATATTTCATTTACTTTATTTATCTCTACGAATACGGTTATGGATGCTAAGAATGAATGGCATGATTGTTCTGTCTTTTCCGAATGAGTTTTTAAAAGTACGGCATATGTTCTTGGCCTTCATGTTCTGCTTTGGCTTTCCTCTCTTCTCTCAGTTTCATTTTCATATTTTGGGCTAGTTTGACCCACATTTCACCCATTTGACGGAAAACATAAGAACCGAATAATCAAAACTCATATTCAAGCAGCGGAATTTCCATCGAAAAGTTGATAATTCTATATCAATGACGTTACTCTCGAAGTGGCGTCACAGTCCACCAGCGGCTTTGTATCTGCAATTGCGTCCAGTTCTTTTCGCGATTTGTTACGCCAGATCAAGACCCCAATGGCCGTCAGACCGATGACGAGGAGGACAGTAACGGTTGACATGCTTATCAAGCCACCAATCATTGCCTTGACCGTTGCTTTATATGGACTCTCGCGTTTGGTCAGCTCTAGTATGTCTGTAAAGTAAAAAAATACAACGGTCATTCATTTGGATTTATTGGCTTTGGGACCCTTTGCTGTAGTGACATTTGCAAAGTGAGTTAATTGCAACAAAACAATATATTTTCTAAAGCAAAAATTTTCATAACAGGTCAATGAAAACCGTTATTGTATTTCTTTTCACAAAAACCGTCCAACTGAGCTAAAGGGCACTTATAATGAGAACCTTTGTAACCAAGATTGATGATATCTGATTTGAATTGATAAATACATTAATCGAAATAAACAAGGTTAATGAATTATTTTAATACCTTTTAAAACAGACTTTGATCTCTCTTGTTAAACTGTTCTTTAATGTCTATTGCCTATGACATTATCACATCAGATATTCAAACCACTATTCAAATCGCTTCCCAAAGCCTTTGGATCCTTACAGCCCATCGCTATAATCAAAATCTACCTAGAGAGATCTCAAACTACACTTGACTGAACAAATAAGGAAGTGTAAACATTTGGAACAAGGCAGAGGCGAGTCAAACTCGTTTTATTTCGAATAAAAATTCACCCGTGTGTCACTGGATTTCAGTCAAGCTTGCTAGATAAATACCTTCATTATACCACCGTTTGATTTCGGTTTACGTACCTGTTTCCAATTGCTTTAAAAATGAGAATGCAGGAGTGTTGGGCACCCGGCCTGGTTGTCCAAACCCTGGCTGGATTCCAAATGATGGAGCATTGTTGACAACCAATCCAACATCTCTAGTCAGGTCTATGATGCTACTTAGTGGAACTGATGGAGGGGCAACGGACAGAAGAAAAGAAGACAGCAGGTTCGCGGAGGTAACGGAAGGTATATTCGCACTGGCGAAAAGACTAAGGACATCCAGAGCTGGTATGGCTGTTTGCAGAACAAGTTCGTAGCCTGACAGTACTAAGTTGGGTTGGAGCAAACGCAGAGCGACCTGTAGTTGAGGAACAGTCTGTCTCACGGCAAGGGTAAAGGGCGAGGTTCGAGGAACTATTCTTTCAATAGCCTGGTTAGCCAGAAAGATCTGGAATGGACTTAAGGTTGGTGGCCGAACTGGGACATTTCTTAAAAGAAGGCTAGCCGATTGAATTTGGTTGAACGCATTCTGAGTAAAGCCACGCTGAATAAACAGGTTTGCAACTGTAGGGTTGTTCAAACCAGGCAAGAATTGCAGGTTAAGCAGTTGACTACCAAGCTGAGCAGCGGCAATACGGCGAGTGGCTACCCCCAACAAAGACGCCTGTCCCAACCCTTGCTGCTGTGCCAGCAGCTGTATCAGCTGTTGTCTCCGCTGTTGTTCAAACTGTCGTCTCGACACAGTGACAATCTCAAGGGCAACGTTTGGGTTTACACCATTTCCAACAAGTTGTTGAATAAGTATCCTATCTGATAAAGCATTGCCCGGCAAAGCAAGGAATCTCTGGAAGGCCAAAGACACAGAAGCTACGGTCAAGGATGCAAGAGCATTTTGCACCGCCTGCTGTGGAATTCCTGGTGGAAGAACAGGAATTTGACCGCTGGATAACAACTGAGCTTGCTGAACTAACTGTGCTGCCTGTAGCGGCGTAAGTTGCCCAAGAGAATAACCAACTAACAGAGATGCAAGTTGTGCCAGATTTGTAGTCACTAACGATTGCAAGGTTTGCACGGTGCCTAAAACTACTGCAGCCACAGACCCAACGTTGACCACTCCAATTCCGGGCACCACGATAACATTTCCTGTTCCAACACCTGGAAACCCTGGTGGGAAAACTGGACCTACGCCAGGGCCTGCAGTGGGAGCACCAGTTATTGCAGGCATACCACCAGTTTGCATCGTCGCGGTAGGGGCCCCAGTCACAATAGGCGTGGCTGTCGGCGCATCGATAAAAATGATAACGGTTCCTTTCATGCCTTTTTGGCCCTTCTCGGCTGAGGTAGCAGCCATACCCATCATCCCCTTTTGACCTTTCATTCCATTGCTTCCTTTATTTCCCTGCTGTCCGGGTAAACCAGGGAAACCCTTCATCCCTTTTTGTCCTTTCGCCCCTCCTCGAGCACCTTTATCTCCTGTATCACCTGCAATAAAGAACTGAATTATAAATACTAGCATCTTTCTGACGTCCGATCGTTTTACCTAGTGTCCGCAGGCAGTAGAGCCATGAAATACACCGTGTTGTGAATACTGATAGTCTTTTAAAAGCTGAAGTCCCCTACCTTGCATACCAACTGTTCCAGGTGGACCTCCCGTTCCCGGGGGACCAGGGATACCAACAGTTCCTGGTGGACCACCTGTTCCTGGTGGCCCTCCTGTTCCCCGCGGCCCTCCTGTTCCGGGTGGCCCTCCAGTTCCCGGTGGACCCCCTGTGCCTGGTGGGCCACCTGTTGCTGGTGGACCACCTGTTCCTGGTGGCCCGCCAGTTCCCGGTGGACCCCCAGTCCCTGGTGGTCCTCCTGTTCCAGGTGGTCCTCCTGTTCCAGGTGGGCCTCCAGTACCTGGTGGACCACCGGTCCCCGGTGGACCTCCTGTGCCTGGTGGGCCACCTGTGGCAGGGGGACCGCCCGTCCCAGGTGGACCCCCGGTTCCTGGTGGACCACCTGTCCCTGGAGGCCCGCCTGTTCCAGGAGGTCCGCCAGTTCCTGGTGGGCCACCGGTCCCAGGAGGTCCACCTGTCCCTGGAGGACCACCTGTCCCTGGAGGACCCCCTGTTCCTGGTGGACCTCCTGTGCCTGGTGGACCTCCTGTGCCTGGTGGCCCTCCTGTGCCTGGTGGCCCTCCTGTGCCTGGTGGACCGCCCGTTCCCGGTGGGCCTCCTGTTCCTGGTGGGCCTCCCGTCCCTGGGGGTCCTCCTGTTCCTGGTGGGCCCCCAGTCCCTGGCGGACCCCCTGTGCCTGGGGGTCCTCCCGTTCCTGGTGGGCCTCCTGTTCCTGGTGGCCCTCCCGTTCCTGGCGGGCCTCCTGTTCCTGGGGGGCCTCCTGTCCCTGGGGGGCCTCCCGTTCCTGGGGGACCTCCCGTTCCTGGGGGTCCACCAGTTCCTGGAGGTCCTCCCGTGCCTGGCGGACCTCCCGTTCCGGGTGGGCCACCTGTTCCTGGAGGTCCTCCCGTGCCTGGCGGGCCTCCTGTTCCCGGTGGGCCAGGCGGAGCCGAAAAAACAATTGCGTCTAGAAAACAAACATATTGCTTATTTATACATAATATGTATTTTACCATTTGGGTTATATTATTTTTCACCTACACCTGCTGCATTAAAAGTACATTCGTTTTGAATACAACAAAATTGGAATAAATTACGAATCATGATGAAAAAAGGGTTAAAGACAAATAGTCCTACATTTATTATTTTGATGTATATATGCTTAGTATAAAAAAAAACTGAAAAAAAAGAGTTCCAAAACGCATATTTTTCAGTTTTTGTCATTTGTGAATGTTTAATAGATCATACGTCCGTACATCTACTTTAAACAACAACAACAACAACAACAACAACAATAATAATAATAATAATAATAAAAGAGGAATGGATAGGTAAATAAAGAAATAGTTATCTCAGTTAAGAAAGATTAAAACCAATACCTCAGTAGTTACCTGAAATATTAACATCATATAGCATTTATCATTAGCAAGTTTTACTTAAATTCGTTTCATTTTCTTACAACTAGTCACTTAATTTTGATGGCAAACCCTGCTCAGAAGGACAATCCCCCCCCCCCGGACAATTCCCCCCGGACTATTCCCCCCAGACAATTCCCCCCGCCCCCCCGGACAATTCCCCCCCAGGACAATTCCCCCCCCAGACGATTCCCCCCCAAGAAATATATATTTATATACAAATATAAAGTAGAAAGTGTAAAGTTTAAAACATTTCATCTATTTTATTAACATTTTTAGTGTGATAATATAACTTCACCATGAAACAAATTATTTTATAACAAATTCCCTTTTCATTGAGTACAAGTACAGGAAGATTTATTAAGTATCTA